TATATATATTCTCCATAAAATAAGCTTTACATACACATGTAGACAAAAATGCCAGCATACAATACACAATGTATATATGAATATTCTGGGGATGTACTCTCAAAATTTTTTTAACGATGAGGGATGCTACAAAAAAATTTTGGATGGGGAGGGTTGGGGCATGGGAGCGGGGTAAGAGATCAAGGGAAGGACTTGTATGCATGCATATAAGCATAACAATGGACACAAGACACTGGGGGGTAGGGGAGGCCAGGGGAATGTCAAGGGGGCGGTGTCGGAAAGAGGAGACATATGTAATACTCTTCGTAGTACTTTAAGCATTAAAACAAAATAAAAAATAAAATAAAATCAATAAACACATAAAAAAAATTGGAGACCACTGGTCCATTGGTCTCACCCTTTGAGTGACTTTAGAAGTAAAATTGATTATGGTAGCATTACTTATTAAAAACTGTCAGTAACATGTAATTCTCATCTTTTGCCTCATTCTTCACTACAGATAAATATTGATGATCAGATCCCTCCTGAATCTAGCAACTTCATTCAGTACACGTGGATCCCAAAGTTACTGGGACTTTGAAACTACTATTAGATGCATTTTCTTCATTTGTCTTAGATATTTTGAAGTTTTATTTATAATTCATTTATTGGGTTATGAGTCAAAAAGAACAAATTTGTAATCATATTAGTGGACCCTTGAGATCTAGAAGAGGCATCTCAAGATCAATTTCATAGGTTTTTTGCAACCCCTTTGCTTACTCTGACTTCTGGTCATCTGTTAGGATCTATTAATTCCATAATTTATGTCAGTAATGGATATAAACTATCCTAGGAAAGTTTAGTTGAATTGCTCAGTAATAGAAAAAATAGATTTTTTTTTCTCTAATATGTCCTATATGTTCTTTTCCTGTGTCTACCGGTTGACATATTCTACTTCTTAGGAATATGTTTCTATACACCCACTGATCTGAGGGAGCTTCACTAGCTCTAGGAACCATCAACCCACCCACCGGAAAACAGGACTGGAAAGAAAACTAACCAACCGGTGTCTCCAGGTGGTCCAGGGGCTCCAGGAACTCCTTGGGCGCCCTTTGGACCAGGCTCTCCCTGTGGTCCATAGCCTGGTGGTCCAGCTGGTCCTGCGGGTCCTGGGGACCCAGGGATGCCAGGATCCCCTGGAGGACCAGGGTCCCCCTTCTCACCACGGAGGGCCTGTGACAATAGGAATATGTTTGGATAATGCTTCATTCCAGTATTTCCTTACATAGATTAATATTACCATGAATATGAATGCCACTTAGACGGTCAGGGAGAAAGTACTGAATTAAGGAGAAGTTGGCATTTGAAGGGAATTATCACTAACGTAAGGGTGCCCTAAGGTTTCTGCAGTTTGAAGTTGGCATTTGAAGGGAATTATCACTAACGGTGATGCCCTATGGTTTCTGCAGTATTGTGCCCTATGGTTTCTGCAGTATTGTGCCCTTTGGAATTCAGTCACATTTCATCAACTGGGAACCCTGAGTTCCACTTGAGATGTCTGACTATGGGGTGCCACCCATGTGATAATAGCCCCTCAAACCTACCTCACATTGGTCAACAGTTCAAATGAAAATGACATTCATGTAATGGAACCTTTCAAAAATCAAATCAGTGCAGCTTAAAACCTTTGTTTCATTTGCACCAGGTATTTCCACAGGGGTGATACTCCATCTGTATTCATTTTTCTCATAAAATGTCTTTTAAAATATTTTCCAGGTTGTAACATTGAAAAGAAAATTGTATGTTTTAAAGAAGTTGATACCAACCGGTTTGCCTTTAGGTCCTGGTAATCCTTTCACTCCAGGGGTTCCAGGAATTCCATCCAAGCCCGCTCTGCCAGGCGGCCCCCTGGGCCCCGGGTCCCCTGGACTACCCGCTTCTCCCTCTGGCTGAGCTGCTTCGCCTTTTTCTCCTTTAAGTCCTGGATCACCCTGAGCACCCGGGAATCCCTAGGGAGGGAGAGACATGCGTCCGCATTGCTTTGGGGTAGAGTTGTTTTTGTTTCAAGCTCAATAGAAAATGTCAATTTCAATGAAACATGTATTTTTTTAGACACTTATTTGGCCCACAAATATAATTTTAAGCTTTTTTCTCTTTTGGTAGCTAGACAGTACAATTCAATGCAACACACACAATAATATAATTCAATATGATACAATAATCATCACAATTCAGATTCTGTTAGAACATTGGTAAATTTTAACATGCATCTCTGGGTAATTTAATATATTTATCCACATATAACTTTCTGATTTGCTATTGTAATCAAAATTTAAATTTTTAACAACTTTATTGAGGTATAATTTACATATAAAATATGAACACAATTCAATGATTTTTAAAATAAATGTATACTAGTATATGTATACTACAAACACCACACTCCAGTGTCAAAACATTTTTATCACTCCCCCAAATTCCCTTAAACCCATTTGCAGTCAAGTCGTGTTCTCAACCTCAGTCCTGGGAAACCATTGATCTGCTTTCTGTCTCTGATACCATTTTAAATAATTATAAATTCATTATTTCATTCACACATCATTTGTTCATTCATTCATTCATTCATTCAATCAATCAACACGTAACTGTTAAAGCGCCTGCCCTTTGCCAGGCACTAAACTAATAGCCTGTGTGTGGTGCAACCATATTACCAGCCAGAGTATTCCATTCTCCAAATTGAAATTAAAGCTTTATAACCATGAAATCTTACTGGGAATCCTGGAAGACCCACACTTCCTGGAGACCCTGGGCTTCCTTTAATGCCAGCTGCCCCTCGTCCTCCTGCAAAGCAGTGAATTGGTAAATATTCATCGAACACCAATTCTAAGGGTAAGGCAGTGTGTGAAAAAAAATTGGGTGTTTTCTTCTGAGCAAAGAAAGACAAATTTCTATTTTAAAACATACAGTGCAAGAAGAGAATGGGAGTGTATCAGTTGGATAAGAGACAATGTAAAAAAACAAGAGCTCAAAAATTTTAACTTCCTAAGATTCTTGTCTTTATAATTTTAAAGAGATACATTTTTATGATGATAAAAGTAATACATGCTCAATGTAAAAAAAATGAACAGAAGTAAGATAATGAAAATCACCCATAAATCTACCATCAGAAGACAGTATTTGCTAAAATTTTCATGTATATTAGTCTAAAATTTTATATCCATAAATATACACACATTGACAAATATATACATTTATAGCTTCACTTTAAATGGGTGCACAATAAGCCTATTGTGTGGGTGAATCATCATTTATTCAGCTAAATGCTATTTTGAGACATTTAGATTGTTTTTTTCAACTTTAACTGTTGTAAACAATGCTCTGATAAATACCTTTGGCTATTTAATTCTCCAAATTTATCCAATTATTTTCTTCACAATAAATTCCTAAAAGTTCAACTGTATGACCAATGGGTACAAACTTTTCTAAGACTTTGGATATCTATTGTCAAATGGCATTTTGCTGTACAATTTTAACTTCCCATAGGTATTTAAGCATCTCTGTAAAGATGACTTCTTTAGAAGGTCTTTTGAATGAATTTCAGGCCAGTTGATTAACAAATATTTGTTCAGATGTATCTTTTGCAAGTTCTTTGCCATGATATATTTTTTTGACAGTAATCCAAACGGTTTCACTGCTTATCTATATTCTTTGAGCCGTAGGGAAACCAAGGAAAACATCATCCAGTGAGTTGACCCTTTGTACTTGCAAAAACACTTGTCGGCAAATTGTCTGTACCTGGGGTTCCTTTTACGCCATCAAATCCTGGCAGCCCTGGGAGACCCGGAGGCCCTGGGACACAAGGACAGTCTGTGCACACGAGGCCTGGCTCCCCTGCAATGAGAGTGTGCCCGGTTACTCATACACCCCCACCACGTCCGCAGAGAGGACAGGGTGTTTCCAACTGCACAATTCTTTCTTACATTGAACATTCTTCCATGTGGTGCAAATCACATACGACATTTCACATATTAATAAAAAACTTTTCATCTATTGCATCTGCTTACTTTATCCCTCTGAGCTTCTAGGTGCTCTTCGATAGAAATTCCTGTTTAGTGTAAAATAGCTACTGTGTCCGTGTTTCTCTCTCTCAGTGCAGGACCAAACTCACATTCTAGGAATAGCCAATGATTTATTGCATGGCTGCTAAATAAACGGCTGCTTTACAGATAAGGGAACACTTTTAGCTAATTCCTTTGGAAAAGAAGCCATCTCTGCCTGCCTGCTGTTTGGGATCGTTGTTGCCTCAGGGAGAAAAAAGCAGCGATAGTGATGGTGATGAGAATGGTAATAGAACAACCCCATTGATTGAACCAACCTTTGCGCCCATCGACACCTGGGATTCCTGGAGGCCCCATGTGGCCTGGAGGTCCAGCTTGTCCAGGGGGACCTTTGCGATATACGATGTTACCTACAAAAAGACACTGGTTTTGAAGACATTTCTTTAAGTGTTTTCTTTTTCAGTTAGCAGGCATTTTAGTAATATGTGTTATGGTATATGCATTTCCCGTTTGTTTTGGAAGCTGAGTCCTTCAAAGGTTAGCTGCAACGGAGAGGCTGAAGCGTGCTGATCAGCTTTTCCTTTCACATCACCCACAGGTGATATTTCTATGGTGTTTGTCATCACACAGGCAACCCATTTACCTTATTATACTATTTCCAATTACTCCAAGACTATCCCTTTAGCATTTTCAGGCAAAGGGTCAAATTTTGTGCTTCTGTGCATGTTAAATACACGATATACGTATATCTCCTTGATATATTGTAGATGCTTAATACATACCGAGGGGGAAAATTCTGACTCAGAATGCCACCTGTTTCCTCCTCGCTGCTTGTTCACACTGACTGAGTTTCTCCTTCTTTTTTTTAAAAAATATATATTTTATTGATTTTTTACAGAGAGGAAGTGAGAGATATAGAAAGTTAGAAACATCGATGAGGGAGAAGCATCGATCAGCTGCCTCCTGCACATCCCCCACTGGGGATGTGCTCGCAACCCAGGTACATGCCCTTGACCGGAATCGAACCTGGGACCCCTCAGTCCACAAGCCAATGCTCTATCCACTGAGCCAAACCGGTTTCGGCGAGTTTCTCCTTCTTAAAGCAGCTCTCCAAGAAAGCTCTTCCCAGTCTTCCACATAGTATCTGCTATTACAGTGTTACCATGAATAGCGACTTCTCTTAAACTATTGTGCTCTATAACCTAATTTTTGGTCTTGCCATTTCAGATATAGGTTGAAGGCAATGCTGATGAAACTAAATATTTAAAAACAGTACCTATAGCTGCCAAAAATGTCATTGCAACAAGGTAACAGTGGAAACACTTAATTTGGGTGGAACTTGGTGTGCGTTATATTAGGTCTGCTTGACTGTGAAGAGAATGCCCTTTTGTGATCCAGTTTTCTGTGTCTTCAAGATGACTGGATAGTTGCCTTTCAACAGTAAAATCAAATGGCAGTTTTATACTTAATGTAGACTTACATGTATACTTACACATTTATACATTTATATGTACTTAACACATGTTCATACTCATTTCATACTTAATTCAACAAATAGTTGAGTATCTACAATGTTCCATCCGCCTTTAAGCAAATGATGGGGCTTAAAACAGCAGAGAAGACACAGTCCTTGACCTCAAGGAGCTTTGATTCTTGTAGAGGAAACTGACAAAGACAGGGCAATGTGAAACATTCTACAACCGGGCTAACCATGAGTGTTTAGGGTGCAGGCTCAGTGAAAACTGTCTGCAGGACTTGAATTTGAAGCTGCAACTGGGTGGACAGACAGATGTTGCTTAGCAAGAGAAGACAGCAAGCCCGGGCAGTCTCCAAGGGGAGAGGGAGTGGTACGGGGGCCAGATACTGACTTTAGCATCCATTAGGTACAAGAACTGCACATCAGGCTTGCCATCAATAAAATGAGGACACAGCCCATATCTTGAGAAAGACTCGGAGGACTAAGATTTGTTAAAATCAGTAGCAGAGTTTTAGTTTAGTTTTATTTTGCTTTGTTTCCCATATAGGTCTATACCTTAGCTTGACAGATTTATTCTTGGACATTATATCCTTTATCAATGGGATAATTTCTTAAATTGTCATTGGCACCTAAAGAAACACTTTCATTTTCATTTTTTTAAATATTGCTCACATAACCAGACACTTAACTGAATTGTCTTAGTAATACTAAAAGTCTTCCAGATTATTCTTTTGGATTCTCTACATTTGTAATCATATTGTCTATAAAAAAAAGTCTCTTTCCTTTTAAATAGTCCCTGACACAGAAAATTCTTAAGGCTATTACGAGAGTTGAGGATAAATCATAAGACCTGCCAGGCACCTGCCAGGAAGGGTGTTTAAAATACAAAGAGTGACATATATTTTCATAGGTTCTATGTACCTATCAGCCAATACAGATGCTGAGTGGCTCTTCAGAGAGATGGAGAGGAAAGGACACCTGAACCTGAACCTCCAGGTACCACTTCAAATCCGGAGGACCCCAGCTCTGTGGTCTCCGACCCACTCCACCTGGCAGCATCTTATCTTGAGCCCATACTGCGCACCTACAGCCCCTTGCTCTGGGGCTTCCCTGCTGATGCCAAAGCATGGGATGCCCTGCGAGCCAGGCAAACACAGCCTGGAGGTGTGGGGGGTGGGCAGTCCAGTGCTGTGGGAGCATATCTTTGACCCAGGAGAGGTAGGAGCTGGTGGATAAATTCTTGCCTCTGTCCCCCTGGGACAGGTTATCCTGAGACAAAGTTACACAGCTTCTTGGAATACAGTCTCCAGGGACTGAACAAGCAGTTGCCCTTGGTCCCTAGGCCAATCTGATCATTGTCACTCCTTCCCTGCCCCATAACTCGTGTCCCTGTCTCTCACTCTGCCGTCTGTGGGAACTCTGGGTAAAGCTTTGCTGCACTTGCAGAGTAGTCATGCCACCGTAGTTGTTTCCACAGAGCTGATAAAGCGAAAACAGTGGAAAGCTAACTGCTAAGATTCACACAGGCTGACGGCCAAGCTCCAAGTGAGGCCCTCTGCCTCTGAATCGCACACACCTGTCACTGGGCAAAGTACACAAAACGGACCCATTAGGCATCTTTACCTGGTGGTCCTGGAGGTCCCGGCAGCCCTGGAGGGCCCGGTGAACCAGGACAGCCCGGGGCCCCGGGAGGCCCCACTGCATCCTTTCCTGGGGGTCCTCGCTCCCCTTTACTTCCTTTCATGCCTGGTGGTCCAGGGGCTCCTCTGAGGCCAGGCTTTGATGACCCTTGGAGGAAAATAATCAATTTATTACATTTTAATTATTTCCCTGATTAATATATGATTATTTTCAATTGCAAAATGTGACGTATTCTCATTTATAACAGTTGCACCACTGAAAGGTATATTAAGCATATAAAATTAAGAGTATCTTCCTTTCTTCATGTGACCTTGTTAAATGATCACAGTACAGCAGAGCTCAGAACGCTCCATGCCCACAAGCTAATTGATGTCGTTTATTACAAGAGACTGAAACAGAAGTTGGGATGCACAGGAGTCCTTTTACTTAAAAGGACTTCATGAGAATTCTTCAATATTAGAGGCCTGGTGCATGAAATTCATGCACTTGGGGTGTGTGTGTGTGGGGGGGGCCCTCAGCATGGCCTGTGCCCTCTTGCAGTCCGGGAGCCCTCAGGGCATGTCCGTCTGTGCCACTCCCCCACGGGCCTAAGCTGACAGTTGGACATCCTTAGTGCTGCCACGGAGGCAAGAGAGCCAAGAGCCCGGCTTCTGGCTGAGTGGCACGCCCCCTGTGGGAGCGCACTGACCACCAGGGGCAGCTCCTGCATTGAGCGTCTGCCCCCTGGTGGTCAGTGTGCATCATAGCGACCAGTCATTCCACCACTCGGTCGATTTGTGTTAGCCTTTTATTACATAGGATATGCTACTTTGTAGACTTTTAAATTAGAGACTATGAGATGCCTACTTTGTAGTGTCCCAAAGAAGAAAGAAAGTTGTAATTGGACTTCATTCCTGCCAATTGTCTTAGATATGGAAGGGCGTGCTGGAGGAGGAGGCACCTCCTGGGAGAGATTCCAGGCCCGGTGGTACAAAATGCATTTCATCTATCTCTCCTAAGATGATGAGGATGTGAGGATGGGGGAAGTCTTGAATCTCTGACTCAAAAACTGTTTAACTGTTAAGCAGAGAGACCTCATCACCAAGGGGCTGAGAAAAATCTGATTATTTCTGATTATTGTGCAGAAGGGTTTGGGCATAAAGGTAAATGTCTTTGACTGACACTGCTTTAGAGCTTTATAATTTTCACTCACTTACTTCTTGAAGGAGCCTATCTATTCATTACTCAGGGGCCAGGCATGTAAAAAGAAGTCTTCTGTAACCTTTGGCCAGTCCTCTGAACCAAGGGGCTGAGAAAAATCTGATTATTTCTGATTATTGTGCAGAAGGGTTTGGGCATAAAGGTAAATGTCTTTGACTGACACTGCTTTAGAGCTTTATAATTTTCACTCACTTACTTCTTGAAGGAGCCTATCTATTCATTACTCAGGGGCCAGGCATATAAAAAGAAGTCTTCTGTAACCTTTGGCAAGTCCTCTGAAATACCCTTTTGTCCCATTGTAACTTCAAGAGATACCCACTGTCTATAGTTTGATGTATATGTTTTTATGCACATGCAAGTACACATAATATTTATCCATTCACCTATTTTTTCCACTAAGATGGTAATATACACATACTTCTGCAATCTGCTTAATTACAATTTATTTTCCAAATTAGGAAATATTTTAAATGTACAACATGGTATAAAGAAAAATATAGTGGATGGCAAAGCTTATCAAATGTTTGCTATTTTTTTCTTAGTTACTCTTCCTTTACAAAAGGACACATCACATCATTACAGTTATAATTGCGGCCTCCGTGGAACCATCCTTGATTCTATTTCTCCTTCCTCTCTCAAGAGGCAACCACACTAATAACTCATGGATGCTTCTACACTTTACAGAATTGTCTATGTTTCTATAAACAGCATATTGTAAAATTTAAAATGTCACATAAAAAAGTATAACCTATGAATTCTGATGCAACTTGAAAACTATGATTTTTAACCAAGCTAATCACCATCAAACTAGTTTTTCTCTCTGTGCCTCCTCTGAGTTTTAAGGCTTCTTCTCATAAACCTAGTTTGCTGTCTTACACTTAGTTAAAACCACTGAGAAGTGAAAAAGAGCATTTCTACAACGCTGTGTAATTTTTCACTTCATTTTCACAAGTAAAAATTTGCAAACACTTTTTACCAATTAACGAAAGATTTGCCTTCCATAAATAACGCCAACTTACTAGAGAGCAGTGCATTTTACTTTTTAATAGCATTTCTGTTGGTACCCCGAGAAACATGTACATACCAGGCCTTCCAGGATCTCCGGGGGGGCCACTGGGACCTATGAATACAGAACAGCAATAAATTGCTTATGAAGAAATAAATACCCTGTCGTCCCATTCTTGCAATCTTGGGTTATAATATAATAATAATTAATGATAAGTATTTTCCATACTTTTTCTCCATTCTCATATAGATACATATTAGAAAACTTTACTTATTTAGACAAACTGCAGAGTAGAAACTAACCTCAGATAACCTTTTCAAATAATTCAGCAGAAACTCACTAAGAGCCTGCTCTGTGTGTACTTTGCTGGGATGGTTCAGATACAAGAAAAGCAAACAGCTGGAATTGTTAAGGATCTGTAGTTTGAGCTGGTGTCCCACCTCAGACTGCTTCTAGCTCTAAAATTGCCTTAAAAATTTATATCTAAATGTATCTGTCCATTTATTTAAATACATTGGGAATTTTTCCTTTAAGCACAAATCTCCTTTGAAATCTTGTTTAAACCAATAATTTGCCTAGATTAGTATTCTCAATCCTGCTGCACGTTAGAATGATCCGAGGCACTTTCACAATCTGCTCATGTCCAGAGCCTTCCTCCTGACAAATCAGAGTCACAGGGGACCCTGATGTGGGCATCAGTGAAGAAGTCCCAGGGGTTCTAAGGCACAGCCAGAGATGAGAGAGCTCACGGCCGAGACCTTTCCAATCCATCAAAGGGGGTAGAAGATAAGTAAGCGTGTCTTTAATTCATGGTGCCAGGCATCAGGAAACCAGGGCTTCAGTCACCCCTGGCCACTGTTGGTGTGGATTTGCTCAAATTCCAGCCATTCAGGTCTCCATTTTCACATCTGTAATCCCGCTGAGATAACAGATTTCTTACACTCCCTGGTCTTGCCCTCGGACCATGTTAGTGTCTGCTTGCCAGACTTGAACTTCGTGATTTTCCTGCATGAAGTTAATTTAATGACTTTTTGGTATTTTCATTCAAAAGTTTCACATAAATTTTTCAAGTTTTGTATAGAAATTAGGAGACACCAAAAAAATAGCACCATCCATGAAAATGAGGAGACTTCCCTTCTCCCCCTGCAAATTCTAGGTCTATAAGCACATGTTGTGTTACCTTGAAAGATGACAATGGTCAGCAAATGCTTCAGAAAGGAATTTATTCTCACCCTGTGGGCCACGTGCTCCTTTGGGCCCCGGAGGGCCTGGAGTTCCCTCATCTCCCTTTACCGCGTATGCATCATAATATTCTGTCTTAAAGGAAAAAGAAATGAAGAAAAAGAAAGAATAGCTATGGACATTCACCAACTGCAATGACTTCAATTTCTTCTTTTTAGCCAAAATGATACTTTCCTCATTTTTCTCAACTCATAGGCTTATGTGTTAGCAGAAATAGGGTAGTCATGTGTATGGGATGAATAAATTTAGAGATAAAAGTTGATATTTCTGGTATGGCATCATATATTTCATTTATCTTTACATATATATCCATACAGACAGATATATCTATGTCTGTGTGACTAGGTACACAGATATTAAAGTTTCACAGAATAGTGATTTACCTTATGAATATGATCAACTCTGATATTTTTATTTTGTTCTATTTCACTTTTTGAAAATGCCTGTCCTGATGCACAGAATTTATTTTATTCTCAGACCTACACATCAAACAGTACTCTATTGACTGTTTCATTAACTTTCAGGACACCATTGACCTACAATAAGTACTACTGTTTCTGACATATTCTATGGACCTACTTCTGGTCTCTTTAACAGTGGTTAAGCAACAAGTAGAAAATATCAAAAAGAATTCATAATATAGCAATAATAATTTATAACAATAACAGTGTAATATGCTAATTAGACCGGACATCCTTCTGGACGTCCTTCCTTTCGGACAAAGCCACAGTGGGCGGGGCCAAGGCAGAGGCAGCAGAGGCCCTGGCCACGGTGTCAGTGGGCAAGGGCCAAGGCCAAAGCCCTTGCACGAATTTCGTGCATCAGGCCTTTAGTAATGTAATAATCTTCTTCGTAACATCCACAATAACCTCTGTTGGCTAAGAGCTTTCACAAATAGCCCGTTTCATCTTCCTGGCAACTCCATAAAAGTGTTTTGGGACTACTCGCATCGTAACAATAAAAGTGTAATATGCTAATTAGACCGGACATCCTTCTGGACGCCCTTCCTTCCAGACAAAGCCACAGTGGGCGGGAGCTAAGGCAGAGGCAGCAGAGACCCTGGCCACGGTGGCAGTGGGCGGGCGCTGGGGCCAAGGCCCTTGCAGGAATCTCGTGCATCAGGCCTCTAGTAATGTAATAATCTTCTTCATAAAATCCACAATGACCTTTGTGTGCCTGCCGAGTGTTGGCTAAGAGCTTTCACAAAATAGCCTGTTTCATCTTCCCAGCAACTCCATAAAAGTGTTTTAGGACTACTTGCATTTGAATCATTTGCTTGTAGTATAAAGATGCAGGTTTCCAGGACCCTCCTCCAGTGACCAAGTTAAATTACTTGTCTGAGGGGTCTGAAAACTGCATGTGCAATAGGACAGCTCCTCTCCCCATGACGCTTGTACCATACACTGTTCTGTCAAACCTACTCAATGAAGAAATGGCGGCCCTGCTTAGCACATTGCATGTGAGGACCATTGTCTTTTGAGGGAGGAGAGGAACAGATACCAGGACTCAGAGCCTGGATCCCTTTTATTCCTCTCCTTAAGCTGCAGAATCACAGAATATAGAATGTGGCCACCCTGCAGCCAGAAGCTGACAGCCATCACATCCATGTCCTCACTGAAAGGAAGAGATGGCCTGCTCAGATGGGAGCTTGGGCTGGGTGATTGGTGTTTGCTGGCCCTGCATGACACCTGAGCTTTTCCTGCTGCCTGAAGGTGCACTTGTCATGACTAGCTGGAGAGGGTGGAGCTGGCTCCCTCACCCTGGGTGGCCATCTGTCCTCCTATTCTATTCAGGATTCAGGATCCCCTTGGGCCAGATCTTATCCTTCCTTCCCACAGCCCAGGATGGGTACTACTAGTGCATATCGAAGACCAAGTAGAAATATTTGTCCTTTTTTTTTTTATATTTTATTGATTTTTTACAGAGAGGAAAGGAGAGAGATAGAGAGTTAGAAACATCGATGAGAGAGATACATCGATCAGCTGCCTCCTGCACATCTCCTACTGGGGACACATTTCCCACTGGGGCTGTGCCCGCCACCCAGGTACATGCCCTTGACCGGAATCGAACCTGGGACCTTTCAGTCCGCAGGCCGACGCTCTATCCACTGAGCCAAACTGGATTCGGCGAAATATTTGTCCTTTGTCAAATAATGACAACAGCTAGTGTTTTGCCCTGGTTTGATAAAAAAAAAAATACTATAATCTCTATCATAACCATTAATGAGAGACCCTGATTTAAAATTTCCTTGATCAAATATGACATTGACATTGTCTTTAATGATACTTACTGGGCCACGAAATCCTGGAGGGCCAATGTCCCCTTTCCACCCCTATGGCAAAAAAACAATTACAATTATGGGTACAGTCATCAAAAGTATTTACACATTTGGTAGACTTAAAAAGCAAAATTCACAGGTAAACAAGAAATCAATGCTCAAAGTAATGTTATTTCTATGTAATACACAAACTTTAGATTATTTTCCTGGAGGGCTGTATCTGGGTCAAGAGTCTCATCAAAAGGTTCTGAAGAAGTAGTTGTTCTGGTTGCTCTCCAGGTTTCTTTCATGCCACTGCCTTCAAAGGGTGTCCATATGCATTGTCCACTCCCCAGTTCTCTCCCAGATTAGAGGAATTGGATCACCAGGCTATGGGTTGTATGCAGTTCCCAGAATCCCAATGGTAACCAACCCCCTTTCCTATCTACTGACGAGGACATTTCAGAATTCTACTGGCAGTGGTATTATTAGAAGATAACCCTTGAATTTACACATATACATAAATATGAAAATTATTTGAATATGTCTGCAACATATTGTCAGAAAGAAACAATGTGGAATATACTTCACAACTAATTGATGATGACTTTTCAGTGTGTAATGGCCCAGCCTGAGACTCATGGAGCCACTTATCCTTATGCTTGATCTCCAATGAACCAAAACTTTCTACAATCCCAGGCCTTTTCCAGCTCCTTCCGTGTGGGGAGCTGAAATCTCACTGGTCCTAAGATTCTACTACATAGAATAAATTTAATATCTTTTTCACTAGACAGACCTTCAAGTGCTTAAGTAAAGTTGCTACAGCTCTCATTTATTAAATATACTAAGGTATTTTAAAAAACAATGATTGCAATTTCTTGTACCTAGTTCCAGGGTGTGGTGAGAAAAAGTGGGCAAAACCCAACCAATTGAAAAAGGCTGAAGATAGAACATGAGGAAGAGGATTACCTTAATGCCATCTTCGCCCCTCAACCCAGGGAAGCCCCTGCTTCCTTTGGCTCCCTAAAGAGCAGAGAGAAGAAAGTGGGTCAGAAGACACAGGAATCAATTCCTTCTGTTGGAAGCAGAACAGTTTGAACTCCTTTTTGGAAAAAGAAAATGTGCTGAGTTGTTCTCTCTTTGTAGTGTAAAACTATGATTCTCAAATGTAATTTTTAAAAACTACATGCTTTTGGTTAGTTTATAACTACTAAGTGACTTTCAAAAAAATCCTTATTTGCCTAATAGGATTGACACTTCCACTATGTCAGCAGGTAAACCATGCCTTTACCTTAGTGCCAGGGAACCCAGGGGCCCCGTCTTTTCCAGGTTTCCCCTAAAAACAAACAAAACAAAAACATGTAATCTAATCAATGTGGATAATATTAATAAACATGGAAAACTTAAATGAGATAATCATCTCCTCTCAACCTCAGGCAAGAAAGCTTGACTGATGCTTCCCTCCCAGTTATTAGAAGGGCAAATGTTAATCACAGAACACTCAAACATCTCCCTTGCAGGGAAGGCAGAGACCAGTGGGAATGGGAAATAAAGAAGAAAGTGGAGAGATTAAGAGCAGAGCTTAAATTGACACTGTTCATCCAAGTTTGGAAGGCAAATCAAGCAAGCACTGAGAGGTGGACAAGAAAACCCAGAAAGTGAAAGGTTACACAGTCAATTTATTTATTTGAAGTGTTGTCAGTTCCATAAATTCCAGATGTGCCTGTGTTTAAATATATGTATTAAAAGTATGTTGCAATGTCCAAACAGACAGGGCTCTTGGATGAACTATTATGGTATTTACCTTCCATGATATAATTAAAAATAATATTGGTTCAATATTTCTTAGAAAAAAATACTTTTCCCAGTATATTCTTTTTAGAGTTTTAAAACAATATGTACATGTGTTTAAATCTTTTCAAAATAGAGCTGGGTGGGAGAGAGGACCCCTGCTGCTCTGTCTTCCCTGTATCTCACTTCTCATCACAGTGTGCCCAGTGCCCTTTGGAGCTGTCCTCTCTCTGTGTGGTTCTGATGGGGCTGTCAGCCACAGGAGCCCCCTGCCCCACTGGCCTGGCCAATCGTGGCATCTTTTATTCCTGGACATGGTCACTTTTCCAGAATTAAACACATGACCCAAGCTGAGCCAATCAGAGTGATTCTGGGATTTTAT